AAAAAAAAAAAAAAAAAAAAAAAAAAACAAAAAAAAAATTGAGTATATTTTTTTACATGACTGCAGTGACAATAATAAATTTCAGTAGTTTGTCGGGAACACAGGTTACAAACGGTGATGAAAAAATTAATGCTGATATCTTGAATTTAATTACTGTTGGTTTGTTGGGTGGTTATGCGATAAGAGAGGTTAAAGCGTACAATGATCGAATTTATTTGGAGAGATATCGTCGAAGTTATTGGCTTGGAGAAAAATATTATCAAATGGTAAGGATTTGTCAGTTTTACGAAACCTTTTTTTTGTTTGAATAACTTATAGAAATGAAATTTTTCGGGCTTTTACAGTTCTACTGCCAGTCATTGATTGCTAATACCTGCTCAATTTTAAACACTGTAAAGATAAATTCAAAAGCATTTTGATTAAACATACCTTTTAAGACAAGTATTGAGAAAAGTAAGTGTTAACAGTTAATAAAGTAGTAACAAGAAAAATAAAATTAAGTTGAAAAGATTATTTAAAAAATGTGTCATTTTAAGCTAAAAAGAACTGAGTTTAGATATTCCGATTTAATCTACAACTTTTAAGCTAAAATTTGAGGATTAATAACTGCTAAAAGACGTATAATTTAACGAAATTGGTGTGATACAAAAAAACACTGGTAACTGACATAAGAGAATAAAATAATGTTGTTTAAACTGTCAGTAAAATCAAGTTTCAATTGTTTTAATAAAAAAAAACATTTTTCTGTTTAAAAAAATTCTTCTTTTTTTTTTATCTGCTTCTAAGCTTTTTTGTTTTGTCTTTTTCAAATCAACCAGACAAGAAAAAACTGGTCATTTTTATTTGTTTAAATAGTTTACAATACTGTACATAAAATGTTTACCTTTTTTTTTTGAAGGATAATCTATATTATTTAACTACAAGAGATACGTGCTTTTATCATATGAGTGAAACTGAACGACAAGGATTGAAGTATGAAAATGACTGGACACCAATTACAACAGTTGTATATCAGTAAGACATCTTTTCTTCTTCCTTTTTTGATGTCGTCTGTCTTTGTTAAAGCTTAATCAAATAATTTTATTAAAAAAAAACAGCATTTTTTTTTTGCATACTATTTTAATACAGTATATACAACAGCTTTTAATGCTGTTCATTTATCACACCTGCAGCGAGTAAGTATTTGAGTGTATGCTTGAAAAATATAAGTCGTAATTGTGTTTAGATGTCAAAAGTATGCTCAGTATTGTTGCGGGTTAGACTGTTGTGATATAACAAAAACAGAAATTCGAAGTGTACCCGAACAGCCTATGAAATATCCGTGGTCAAAACCTGTTGCATCAACTGCAACCAATTTACAGCAGCTTTCACCGTTCAGAAGCAGCACCAACGGTGGCAACGGCCGCAACATTATTATTTGTACATTAGTGCTCTATAAAATTTTAGAAAATTTACTTAATGTAT